CAGGGATTTTAAGGAGAGGTGTGTGGTGCGCTATCCGTCGCCCACCCTAGGGAGTCTCGTGACATGTTTGGACTTTATGTCCCGGCAGAATTCTTCTTGCGATGTCTCTGCGGCGTCGCTCCCGCCGCCTGGCTTCCGCCGCCGCCGCCGCCGCACACTGCCCCCTCACCGACCTGCCCCTTGAGCTTCTCGCGCGCGTCATCTCCCGCTGCGACCCCGCCGACATCGCTCGCGTCGCGGCCGTCTCGCTGCTGTTCTACGCCTCGCTCGCGGCGGAGGGCATCCGCTTGTGGGCGCAAGAGCAAGGCTTCGAGCTGCCGGCGCTGCCAGAGGGCGAGAGCTGCGCCGTGCGGTGGCTGTGCTACTCGGCGTTGCTGCGCGAGTCCAACCCGCCGGCGAGGGCGGCGGCAGGCGAACGGCACAGCGTCTTCATCGACGGCGAGGGGCGGCTCTCGTCGTGCGGCTCGGCGCCGCATTACGTCCCAGGTCTCCTCGGCCACGGCGAGGGCGTGACGCGGCTCAACACGCTGACACGCCTCCCTTCCCCGCTGGGCGGCGAGCGCGCCGTCACTGTGTCGACTGGAGGTATTCACAACCTCGCCCTCACGGCCGACAGCAGTGTCTGGAGCTGGGGCTTTGGAGCCTCTGGCCAGCTGGGCCACGGCGACGAGGAGGAGCAGCTGCTGCCCAAGAAGCTCGAGGCCTTGGCTGGCCAGCGCGTCGTCGCTGTGTCGGCTGGACGCAACCACAACCTCGCCCTCGCCGCCGACGGCGCCGTCTGGAGCTGGGGTTTTGGAACCTCTGGCCAGCTGGGCCACGGCGATGAGCAGGAGCAGCGGTTGCCGAAGAAGCTCGAGACCTTGGCCGACCAGCGTGTCGTCGCTGTGTTGGCGGGATTTGAATACAGCCTTACCATCACCGCCGACGGCGCCCTCTGGAGCTGGGGCGATGGAGGCCGTGGCAAGCTGGGCCACGGCGACCAGCAGAAGCAGCTGCTGCCCAAGAAGGTCGAGGCCTTGGCGGAGCGGAGCGTCGTCGCCGTGTCAGCTGCATTATTCCACAGCCTCGCCCTCACTGCCGACGGCGCCGTCTGGAGCTGGGGCGATGGCCTGCTGGGCCACGGCGACCAGCAGAAGCAGCTGCTGCCGAAGAAGGTCGAGACCTTTGCTGGCCAGCGAGTCGTCACGGTGTCGGCTGGAGCCGTGCACAGCCTCGCCCTCACCGCTGACGGCGCCCTCTGGAGCTGGGGCGGTGGATCCCTTGGCCAGCTGGGCCATGGCGACGAGGAGCACCAGCTGCTGCCCAAGAAGCTCGAGGCCTTGGCGGGGCAGCGCGTCGTCGCGGTGGCGGCTGGAGCATACCACAGCCTCGCCATCACCGCCGACGGCGCTGTCTTTGCCTGGGGCAAGGGCGAGGACGGCTACCTGGGCCACGGAGAGGACCTGTCGAACCAGCTGCTGCCCAAGAAGATCGAGGCGTGGGCGCCGGGGAAGCTGTGAGCACACAGTGAGGTGGGGGCTCTCTTCCCCCGCGATATTTCTGTATGACCGCGGTTTTTTTACCGGTGTGTGGGCTGTGCCTGCCGTTCTGTGTTTACCGTTATTCAACTGTGTCGTGTTATTCAACTGTGTCGTGATACGTGTAACTGTACGAAATTCGCGCACAAGGCTGCCCCCACCATCGCTCCCCAGGGCCGCGGCACGCAGCGCTCCTCCGGCTCTGCCAGTGCCACTCTCTCCCTCTCGCTGGCCAGGACAGCCAGGAGCCAGCGCGCAGCGGCGCCCCCACAGTGCGGTCCAAAGGACAAGCGCACGCCCACGCGCCAGGGACGGCCAAAACGGTAAACGCCGCATACTTTTAGCTTTGGGAGAGGTGTTTGTCTTCTCTAGGCCCCTAAAAGGCCCCTTCGCGCCCGCCCCGCCGGCGTGCAAGACTTGTGCACTTGTCTAGCTACCGTACGACCTTCGTACTAGGCTTTCATCATCGGCGTTCTGAGCTCCATCACACTGACCAAACTCCAGCCCTTTCGCCCGAAAACGACACTGGCATGCGCCCCCGACATCAGTCCGCGCCGTGTGTGCTGGACCCGAGCGCACGCCAAGAGAGCCCGCCCTCTGTCGTGCCGAAACCTCAGCACAGCCCGAAATGCGCTCTGTCTCCCATTGTAATCCACCGCGCTCCCGCGCCTCCCCATTGGCGTCGCAGCTGCTGGAGATGTGATCCACACGTGCTCCGCGCCCGCATTTGCCCGCCTCGAACTCATACGCCACGTGGTTGCTGCAGGTGGCATGGAAGCGCAGATCTTCGGCGGCACGCTGCACGCTGGCGGCCCGCGATTAAAAAAACCTCGCTTCTTGTGGCGAGTCAGGCGCGCCGACCAGATGGGCCCCCACGTGGTATGGGGGCGGGGACCGGCGGACGCTAGCGTGGACTGCGCAGACGTGCTGCGGGGCGGTGGACTTCATGGCACCATGGAGGGTGGTGCGCTGGCAGCCCGACTCCATGTCATTCCTGCCCCTGTCGGACAAGGTTGTAGGGGACGGGGAGGAGGCGAAAGATGCGGCAGCAACGCTGCAAGCGTTACACGAGCTTGCTGGAGCGGTCCCGGAGGAGGCCGTTCCCGACGGAGCGGTGCCGGCCGCCCTCCCCCGATTCCTGCGACTGATGGGAATGGCGGAGGCGGAAATGGCGGGTGCGCTGCTCGGGATGGAGGGAGGCGCCCTGAGGATGGTGGCCCGGGTGGCCAAGCAGCGGGCGATACAAGTGACGCGCCACTGGCAAACGGTGGGGATCCCTCTCGAGTCGCTCGGGACGGAGCGCTTCCCCACGCTGGCCGCCTGTCATGGGTGCGGCGGTAAATTTCGCACACTGTTCCACGTGAAGCCGGAAGACGGACCTGCGGCCACGAAAGTGGCCGAAGAGGTGGTTAGCGCCATCTTGGAACGAATTTCTGAGCGGGTGGAAGGAGGAGCGGAGGAGGGGATGAGGGGGCGCCTGTGCCACGCCATGCAGGGACAGGGAGTGTTCGTGTGCTTTTGTTGTGCAGCTCCTGTGGTCCGTGAGAAGAGGAGGCAAGGAGGCGGGTTGGTGACGAGGGGGGGACAGCCGCCGCAACAGGCAAGCGCACCCCGAGCCGGGGCTGCACCTGCGGGTCGGCCTTCCCCGACACGGACTCTGCCACAAAGGACACGAGACAGCCCGGTGAGGTTCGTACCGGCAGCTGACAGGGTGAGACAGCGACGGGATGCGATCCGAGAAGCCGAGAGGGACCAAGAGGCCGCGGTGGCGGGCGAGAAGGCGGTCCTGGCGGAACTTAGGGCGATCGGTTTGTCGTTCGCGGCCAGCACCGGCGTGCTCAGGCCAGTACAGGCACGAGAGGTGCGGGGCCTGGCTAAACGACTGGTTGGCTCGACGGACCTCCTTGGACAGGTTTTCCGGTGGGAGGGGGAGGACTACCTCGTCAACGACATCGCACCGGGGCCGACACTGTCGGGGGGGCAGGCGCTGAAGGCGTACGCCTGCTGTGTGAAGAGGCGGGTGGCATCGGCGGGCCCGCTGTCTGAACACAACTCGGCCTTTGATATCCGGGCGGTGCGGGACCGAATCGAGAAGGACCGGGCGAGGGGGGAGGCGACGCGACTACTGGGCAATCTACGGCCTGATGCGGAGTGGGAGGGGGGAGAAGCGGGGCCGTCGGCGAATCCGGGCCCTGCCCCCCCCCCTTCCCGAGGGGAGACGAGAGCTAGGCCCCCCCCCATGAGCGGGGTGGACGGCCGACGCGTGGAACCACGGCTGGAACGGCCGCAGGGGCAGGGGGCCGCCTCCGAGGCCCCGCCTCAGGAGTTGCGGCGGCCGGTACCGCCACCAGGCCCGCCGCCACCACCACTGTACCCGCCCCCGCCGCTGGAGCGACCGCTGAGTCGAGGAGCCGCCCCTGAGGTTCCACACCAAGCGGTGCGGCCGCCAGTGCTGCCATCGTTTCCGCCACCCACACTGCCACTTCCGCCCCCACCACTGGGACGGCTGCAGGGTCGTGGGGCCGCCCCAGCGGCTCCACACCAGGCGTTTGGACCGCAAGGGCCGCCACCATACCCGCCGCCCTTGCCACCGCCTCCACCCCCGCCGCCGGCGGGGCCGCCACCGTGTGGACCCGCTCGGAATAACCTGGGGGATCCGGAACCGCCCCGCCGGAGGCTGGCGTACCCGGGCGAAGGAGCTGGGAGGGGGGAGTTGCCGCAACACAACAACGAACCCGCCGGCGAGCCGGAGGGCCGAGACCGGAGGGCCCCGGGGGGGGCCTGGGGTCAGCTGTCGGAGGAGGCGAGAGACGAGCTGACGCGGCCTCTGCGAGTAGAGTCGGGACGGACGGACGAGCCGAGGACGATAGAGAGACCACGGGGGCGGGCGCGAGTCCTCGACCGAAGAGAGCTGGCCCCACCCCCCGGGGAGGGGCGGCGTAGCGATCGAATGCCGCCGCCCTCGCCCGAGGAGTCGGGCACGGGATCGCCGGAGGCGGAGGCAACAAGAATAGCCCCCGAAGACGAGACGGCGGCGAGGCCGCGGTCGAAGAAGTATAAGAGGGGAAGGCGGGCTCCGCAGCCGACGCCGAACCATCGGAAATCGAACAGGAGGGAGGACCGGGAGGAGAGGGGAGCCCCCTCGGATGGGGGGTGGGGAGATCGGGCGGAGGAGCCCTGAGTGGCGATGTCGGGTGAGAGTGTACGTCATGCTCGTGTCTAGTGTCTGGTGTTTACTAGCTCCGAGTAGAGGGGGCGTTCCGCCGCTAGGGGACACCCAAAGCGCAGAACTAACCCTCGGAGACCCGTGTTTACTTTAAGGCCCTTGCCCTGCGTATGCGCACCCCCCTAGCTAGGGGTCAGGGCTCTCTAGCCCGTAGCCCGATCCCGATCATCCGGCCCGCTGGATGCGCTTCTCAGCTCACCGGCCCTGGATGTGAGGTTACCGACTGTGCACTCCAAGTGCTCCAAGTGCTGTGGCCAACGTGGCAGTGTCCCATCAGCTCCCATCAGCAATTCGGACGGCGCGACTGCGCGCAGCACTCAGCGACAAGACCGCCCGGAGAGATGAGCGTATTTTCCACCGACCTCGCACACGGGCGCTACCATACGCCGCGCACCGTGTCAAGACCCAGAGCGTCATAGCGCCGCTCTGCGCTCTGTGTGCGGCGGACTGGCTGCAGCGGGGGAGGATGGGTGGGCACTGGACGACGTCGCGGGCGCCGCCTCGACCGGGCGCATCGGCGGCAGGCCACACAGAAGCCGTTGCAACGAGCCGGCGTCACGCACCTAGGAAACAAGGCCGCGTCCGGAGAGAGAGTATGCTGTCCCCGCCTCATCGGAGAAATTCCCGTTCGCGCGCTCATAGCACACTGCCGGACGAATGGCGCGCATAGAAGGTCTTGCTCTTGCTAAGGTAGGCTGCCACTGTTGGCGCGGCGGCTGTCCGCGCCGCCAGGGCGTGTACCTTTGGGTATCGTGTCGCCACGTCGAAGTGTGCAGCCTCGAGTGCTTGCGCAAAGGGGAAACCTGCTCGCAAAGCGACCAATACCGCCAGGTCGGCGCCCGTTGGGAAGGTGCGGCCGTGGACGAAGCCACTCTCGGGCACGAAGAGCTCGAGCACGCGCAAGTACTGGGCGAAGGTCGCGTTGATAGCCGCTGGCGGCCTAATAGCTCCTCGGTCCTCGACGCCCTGCAGGATATCCTCCTTGATCTGCGCAAACATGTCATCCACCGCACGTTGCTGCGGCGACAGCGCGAGAAAGCCCGGTGCGATGTCACGCACGTACCGCTCGATCGCGAGCGACTCCTGCAAGCAGCCGTATTCAAAGGCACACGATGGGAAGAGACCGGCGTGTGCAATCACCGGGACGTATCCACTCGGCGTCTTTGTCTTGTACCCTGATGTGTCGGTGCTGTCGACGATTGTCAGATTTCCGACTGCCGCATACAGGCGCGCCAATTCGGCGCGGCCCGCGACGTTGAAGTAGGTTAGCTTCGGAGCCTCTGCAGCAACGCGCGCTGCAAGAAGGACCCACAACCACTTGAGCGACTCCATGCTGGCGAAGAGGCACACGCACGCTCTTGGAGCCACTCTTGGACCCGAGTAGAGCGAGTAGAGCGAGCAGGCTCCGAGACGGAAAGAGCGAGCGCGCAGACTCCGCAGGCAGCCAGCTTCGCTCTCCGGATTTTCTTTTCTTTTTTTGTCTAAGTTCGAATTCTTTTTTGATAAGTCTCTTCCCCGCAACTGAGGGGGTGGTTGCGGAGTTCGACGCTCATCCGTCCGTTTCGCGCCCATTAGCGACGATGCTCTCGACGCTCCGACACCGTGGCGGGAAGAGGAAGGTGGGCGACACCCTCGGGAACGTACTTTTGGCTAAGAAAAGGGAGAGGGGTGTTTGTGTTCTTTAGGCCCCTCTCTCTCTCTCTCGTCGTACATGTAAGAACCAAAACCCAGTGACCAAAACCCAGTGAGATGATGGAGAGGGGGGACGACACCGCTCGATCTACATGTACCCTCTGGGGTCCCTCAGCGGCGTGCACCTCGATCCTTCCGTGTTTGTTATGACCCCCCCCCCGAACCCCCGATGAGCACACCAGCAAGGGAGGGCGAGACGATCGAGGGGTCCCGCACCATGCGGAATCGACCCTATCCAGTGCTCAAGTGCTCAAGACCAAATATAGGGTCAAAAAATCGAGAAAAATTCGACCTGCCGCCACGCAGTCCACCGCAGCGACTCTGCGAGCAGTCTCTTGCGAGCACTGCTCGCATAATAGAGTCTACTAGAGTGAGGCCCTTGACGGGCCCCGCCCCCAATGGGGCGGGGTTGAATGGGCTAGCGCTGGCGTGGCGTTGACATGAGCACAAAGTTGCTAATGTGCGTAGACGAACAAACACAGAGTAGGGTTGAATTCGTCCACTTTAAGGCTTGGGGAGTGCTTGGGGTGGCCTCAGGCATCCCCAAGGGAGTCGCAGCGGTGCCCCATAAGCCGCCATAAGCAGCTTAGCGATTGTCGAACCTCGAAGCGCGTTCGTTTGAAGAAAGGCACACGCGACACGGTACTATCGGGCCACCGGAGAGTCACCGGTAAACTTCGACACTTAGAGGGGTGAGAGCATGCATTATTGTGGCATATCATGTCACATAAGGTCGAGCTTGACTGCAGAAGCATCAAGAAGCGGATACTCCAACTCGACTGTGCCGGCAAACTGCCTCCTCACGCCGGCCGGCTGCCAGCAGCCGTCGCGGCCCGTGGCGTGCACCAGAGAGGGAGAGAGGTCGAGTCCGCATGGCTCAGGCCGGCCAGAAGGTGTGTGGCGACATCACCGTGGCAGGAGTGCGGAGAAGAGCTCGCCGAACGCGAGCAGCGGAAGGCCGAAGTGTGCCAGCGCAAGAGCCTCGCGAACGGGTGCAGAAGGAGCTCGCCGTGACACGATGCCGGGCGGTGGTGGTGCTCTGGCGGCTGTGCACAGTGGGAAAGGTCAGGCTGCAACAGCGTAGCACGATGGTAGTGCCCCGCTGCAGCCTGGCCTGACATGCACAGGGCGAACAGAGACCTTGCTATCGCCTGGCGCTCGTCTGGGCAAACTTTGACCGCCGCCCGGCTCGCCACGAGCACGCAGCGACAAAATGATGACCGTGTCGAAGTTGAGGCTGGTCGAGAGGAAGAGGCTGCCGTGCGAGCCGGCAACTGGCTGGCTCGGCGTGAACGGCCGGCGGCGACTTTTTGCCGAAGAGCGTGCCTGCCGAAGAGCGAGTCTGACTCAAAGTGCACGGAGTGGGTGCCGCCGACCGTCGGGAAGAGTCCGATGGGTGCCAGGAGGATCCAGAGAGCGATGAAGGCGCAAATTGCGCCGCCGAAAGCGGCGGTAGAGGCCAGGACGTGCGCGTGGGCCGGTCGGGCCACGTCCCGGGGCGAGCGATCGAGGGCCGCGGGGCTCGCCCCGCCGGCCGAGCGGTGCGAACGGCCGGTCGCCCGCTTCGGGTTGGACCCGCCGGGCGGTCCGGCGGCGGATGGCACGGCCGGGCGGGCCCCGGGAGGCAGGCGGGGCCGCGACAGGCGGCAGGGCAGAAAATCCCATTCGGAGAGTGGTTGGACAGACCCGGTTGCTACTTTCAAGGATAGGGACACCACGCTGGTGCGTGACAACAAATCTTTTCGATGCACATGCTGCGACGGCTGTCGCGGCTGACTTTCCCCGTCCGTCGGAGACTCTCCACGCACGCGAACGCGGCTCCCGAGACGTGGGCCACGATCGCGGAGGTCTCGCCGCTCTCGCCGTCCACTTCTGCCCTGGAGCTCGAGCTCGAGTCGTCACTCACCTTTGAACCGGGCCAGTGGGTGGACTTGTACATCCCTGCTATCGACCAGGCGCCCCGCGCGATGGCCAAACTCGTGGCCCGCCCCACCCGCTCATCGCGCGCGCACGGCTCAGGTCGGCGGCTACTCCATCACCTCGCTCCCGGCGGAGCTGCCGCGGCTGAGCCTTGCGGTCAAGGCGTCGGCGCACCCGCCGGCGGCCTGGTGCACTCGCGACGCGAGGGCGGGGGACCGCGTCGCGCTGCGGGTCGGCGGCAGCTTTGTACTGCGAGACACGCCCGCAGCTCTCTACGTGGCTGGCGGCGTCGGGATCAACCCCCTTTACAGCATGCTGCGAGCCCACTGCGACCGGGCTCCGCTGCGCCGCGCCGCACTGCTGTACACGGCGCAGCGGCACGACGAGCTTCTCTTCACAGCGCAGCTCTCGCGCCTGGCGCAGCGCCTTCCGGGCCATACACGCTTCAGGAAAAAGCAAGCCGCGCCTCGCGAGGTCTCGACCCGCTCTCGCTTTGAGCTCGGCTGCGCCCGGCCCCTCGCCTCCCCGCAGGCTCGGCGCGACGCGCGAGCCGTCCTCCGCCGCCGCTCCTCCCCTCCCCGGAGCCGGCCGCCTAGACGGGCGCATCGGTGATGCGGCGCTCGAGGAGGCGCTGCGCTGGCTGGGGTGCGAGCCAAACGAGGCTCGCGCCGCGGGGTGGGCGGGCGGGTCCGCAGCCGCCGCGGACGACCGTGCCCACCGCCGCCGCCCGCCGCCCTCCACAGGTGCGCGAGGGCAGCGCGGTCCCGTGGATGGCGGAGAGCGTGGCGCGCGAGCCGGGCACCGCGAGCGAGGCGTGCGCGGAGGGCGTGTGCGCGTATGTCTGCGGACCGCCGCGCATGACCGATGAGATCTGCGCCACGCTGCGGCGGATGGGCGTCGGGCAAGTGCACGCCGAACGATGGTGGTGAGCGCTGGTGGCACACGCACCGCAATGCGTCGTCCAGGCTGCCGGGAAAGCCGGGTCTGACTAAATTTGTTCAGCGCCAGTGCGCGCAGTCCCGTGCCCAGTGTTGTGCGGTCGCACCCCCGGCGCGCTCGGAACCGAACCCTGGGTTCTGACTTTTTGCTGGAGGGTATAAGGTATGGTAGCGTCCGCCAGCCCAGATCAAGACCATACCCCCCCGCCTGCTCGCTCGCTGCTGGCAGACCTGGCCACCTGCTTGGGGGTATGGGTGGGCTCGTCTTGGGCGGTTGTCAGGACCATGCCCCCCCCCCCCCCCGGGCCCCCCCCCCGCCCCCCGCCCCCGCCCCTCCCTCAAGCCTCTGCGGCCACACCGCCTACTCGGGGATGCGGCCTGTAGACGGCTTCTGAGAGGGCTCGGGGACGGACACGCTGGGCGGAACGGGTCCTGGTAGGCTCGCGTCGGCGGCGGGCGACTACCAGCGCGCCATCGACATCTACGAGCAGGCGCGTGGGTGGTCGTAACGACCCGCCGCTCGTAGTGACACGAGCGCACGCGACTCCTCTCGCCCTCCAGCGCAAGGCGCAAACATGCACACACTCACACTCTTGATTCACACTCCAGAGGACTAGCCAGGCTGCGAGCCTCCCCAGTCGCGACAAGTGGCTCTTGACTTTCTGAGGGCGGCCGGCACGGCCGCACCACCCCTCTCATCGCACGAGGCTGAGCGCCACGCACAGAGAGAGGGCACGTAGAGACTGAACAGCCAGCACGCCTACGAACCGCGGCACAACAGATACACGCGAGAGGCGAGAGGCGAGAGCAAACCAGTCATCTCTCTCTCCGGCCCCTCGCCTGCCGTGCGCTGCCCCGCCCCCTCGCCCGCACCCGACCGGCCCTTGCGCACCCTCAGGTGGGCACGGCCGCGCTCGAGTCCAACCTTCTCAAATGGAGCGTCAAGGACTACTGGCTCAAGGCACCCCCCCAGCCCCTCCCCTCCCCCAGCCCCTCGCCCCTCACCCCACCCCCCAACCCCCACGGCACCCCTCAATGGTTTTGGCTCCCCCCTCTCTCTCACGCACCCCTCCGAGACCTCCCTTTGGGCCAGCCCGCCCTGCTCTCCTCATTCCTGCGGCGGTCGGTCGGTGACAGGCGGGAATCTGCCACCTTGCCACCGGGGACGGAGGGGCGGCGGCTTCCGCGGTTCGGAGGTATAACACGATGGATGCCTCCTTCGAGAAGACGCGCGAGGGGATGCTTCTCGAAAACCTCACAAAGGCGTTTGGAGACGCCGACGCCGACGCCTTCACCGAGCACATTCGCGCGTACGACGAGATCTCGCGGCTCAGTCCAGAGATGACGACCCTGTTGCTCGAGGTCAAGAACACCATCAAGGCGCAGGTCAATGACATCACGTGAAGGCTGTGGCCGTCGCTCGCTCGTCGGCTCGCCGCCCGTGGGCGCGCCCGCTGTGCGCTGTGGCTGTGGCTGGACCGGCACGGCTTTTGTGTTTGTAGGGGCAGCGAGACTAGCGGTATCATCATATCATTTCACAGCCTTGTAATTGAAAATTACGTTCACTCCTCTCCTAGAAAAAAGAAAAATAGCACAACGCGCCGCCCAGAAGGCGTGTGGGTTGCGGGACCTACTCGCCATGCCGCCGGTCGCGGCGGGTGATGCGGCCAAGTGGGCGTTGCTGCTCAGGCAGCTGGGCACGACCTCGTCGATGGAGGAGGCCGTGGTTTTTGCGGTGGAAAATCCAGGCAAGGCTGACGAGTTTGTCGCGGCAGCCGTGAGCTGGATGCGGGTGCGCTCTTGTCTCTAATCATGGGCGTTCTCCGTTTCGACCCACGAAGACTCGCCCTGCCCTTTTGATTCCTAGGTTAACGCTGGGCTCCGGATGCGGATTCTGATGGCTATCGACCAGATCTGCGCACGGGCGTCTGCGGCTCCATCTGCCGAAGCGAGCGGCTCGCGCCCTGCCTTTGTCAACGCCGTCCGAGCGTACATGACGCTGATGTTCAAGGCACTGCTCTTGCGCGACGGGCCGACGCAGCCGCCCGCGGACATGACCGTCCGGGTGCGTAAGCTCCTCCAAAAGTGGGAGAAGCGAGGCACGTTTTCGGCCGCCGAGCTCGGGGACGCACGTTCTTTGCTTGACGCGGCGGAGGGTACGGCGCCCGCGGCGGCCCAGCCGACCGACCGCGGCGCGAGGCACGAGGAGGAGGCGGGAATCCGACCAGGCAGCTCGGGCGGCGACATCAGCGCGCGTGGCGGCAGGATAGCAGGCGGCGGCGGTGGCGGCGGCGGTGGCGGCGGCGGCAGAGGCGGCGGAGGCGGAGGCGGAGGCGGAGGCGGAGCGAATAGCAGCGGTAGCGGCGGTGGCCGCAGCGGCCCTTCATGTGGGTCGGCACGCGAGGGCGGCGCGACGGGGCGGGGAGGGGGCGACAGTCCGCACGGCGAGCCGGCGCGCAGCGTGGGCCGTGTCTCGCTGCCTCCTACTCCTCCCGGAGTGGTGCCGGCTGCCCTAGGATGCTGGCTCGGCCTTGCCGCTCTGTCCTCCTCGTCTCCTTCCCCCCGTCTCCGACTCTCCCTCTCCTCCCTCTCCCCCTCT